GGGTTATTTTGTCCCCCCCCCCCCCCCCCCCCGCCTTCGACGGACAACAAAAAATGATGACGTTTGTCACAAAACAGGTCTGCCAGGGGTCGTGCATGTTATTCGCCAGCCGCCGACTGAAGGCGGCCTCGGCGGCGGCGGGGGGTCTGGGGGCTACTGCGGAAGGGGCGGGCTCATCCACCCCAGCCGCGAAGCGATCCAAAGGCGGCAGCGGCGCTTCAAGGACCGAGGTATCTTCGAAGAAGAAGGGAAAAGGCGGCGGCAACCGCGGTGGAGCGGAGGAGCCCGTCGGCCGCGAACCCGAGGCCCAGGTCAAGGAAGGGAAGGTGGACGTGTCCGGGCTTAGGAGCGCCGTCCTGCAGTTGGCGGAGGCGGTGCCGGAGAAGGCTTGGAAGACCGGGCAGTGGAGGAGGGTTTCCTATCCGGCATGGAGGGCGTTCGTGCTGGTTGCGACGGGGCCTAGGGAGCTCATGCAGGTGCGCGCTTTGGGGGGGCTTGATTGGGGTCGGGGTGTGGCGTGTTTTGTTGTGTGCGTCCTTTTTTTTCTTTTCTGTCGTGACAAAAAAGCGCAACGAATAAATTAGAGGTAGGTATTCAAATGTGTTTTCATTTTATTTAGTTTAATTTTTTTGTTTTTGGGGCTTTTGGAAGACAAGTCATCTGGTTCGAAAGAGAAAAAAAAAAACGAAAAGCTGTTTCACGCGGTGTGTTTCGTCAAGCGCGGTTTTGCCCTTTTTTGCTCTTTCACAAACAAGATACGAACATATGTTGGCACGCGATGTGTTTGGTCGAGAGAGCGTGGTTCTGCGTTTTGGTAGCGAAGGGTTCCTCTCAGGGGGACAGCCGGCTGTGAGTGTACAGTACGGCCGCAGTTTTTGTGGCACCACCCGCTCACATTTTTTCAGCACATGACTATTTTTCCATCTACAGCAGTAGTGCGGTGTGCGATTCTATACAACAAACGAAGAGAGGGATGCCGAGGTGGGGCGAGAAGTTGCGCATCGACGTACCGAACGAACTGAATTTTCAGTCTCATGATCATTGTTTTTTTTTTTGCTGGTGGCAACCAGGCGCTGCTGATGATGGAGGCCGGCATCACGAAGGAGTGGCTGGCGAAGTGGTGGAACAAGGGGTGGGCCTCCCCCGCGGTCGCCATGAGGGTGGTCACGCTGCAGTCCGTGGCCTACCGAGCCTACGCGCTTGATGCCGCCGTGCTGTACGAGGGGTCTTCGCGGGGGGGAACCAACGCCAACGCACCCCCCCCTCCCTCCGGAAAGAAGAGGGGGCGCCCAAAAAGCTCCCCATCTTCGGGGCCCCCCAAGGGCGCACGCCTGTTCAAGGGCGTCCACGAGGTGGGATGTTTTGCGGGTTGAGGGGAAGGGGGGGACGGGGTGTAGTCATAGCCGTGCATGCGCGCAGGGGAGGGATGGGGGGGGGGTATTTTTCTTGCAAAGGCAACATGTTTTTCTTACAGAACAGAGTGCGTTTGACGAGGTGACGCTGGTGCCGGTACAAAGTGGCGATGTGATGTGTGTGTTTGTCATGGTTAGCATCGACCGCGCTAGCGGGCTGCCCTATGAAGACCCCAGTCAGTCTGTCTTACTCTCGTCGAAACGAACACTCTTAACGGCTCATGAATTCTGTCTTGCGTATCTCAGGCCACTTGCTCAATATGCGGCGAGGGCGGAGCTCTGATCTGCTGTGACTACTGCCCGGCGTCCTTCCACATGGAGCCCTGCCTCGACTTGGCCAAGGTGGGGTGTGTAGGAAGGAGCAGTCGAACGGTAGGGCGGCGGGCCTGGCTCGTTAGCACCGGTGGTGGCGGCGGCGGCCACGGGCATGGTGTTACTTTCAGCCGTAGCCTTCGCCGGGTATTCCTTTTCGTAAATGTGTTGGATATAGCATACAATCGGGTAAGTTGGGTTAGGGTTAGGGTCAGGGAATACGGTCTGTGTACCCCCTCCCTGTCATATTTCCTCATGAACTTATTTTCTCCCGAAGGCGGTCCATTTTCAGACCTGTGGCCCCTTGCTTTCATGCGAAAATTGAAGAGATGCTAGTCTCGTGAGTTTTCATTTGAGGGGTACGCTCGACGTGGAAACATTTTAGCACGTGTGCGATAGACAGAGAGAGCGACAAAGACTACCACATAAGAGACACGCAGCGAGCTTTGTGCCGCAATGTGTATCTTTGATCTGGGCGGAAGGTGGGTCCCCCCAGCAGGCGAAACGAAGACTTTCGGCCCCGACCCCCCCCGCCCACCCTCATTCTCATCCCTTAACCCTTCCCGTGTACGCCTTGCGTCCGGACGCGCGCGTTATTTCCCCCTCTTTTTTGTATTTTGTCGAACCGCGGAACCCCCAGGATCCAGCGGGCCCGTGGGCGTGCCCCCTGTGCAGAGCTGGGACCCCGAAGCCGGTGAACCCGAAGGCAGCGAGCTTAAAGGGAGGAGGAAAAGGCGGCGGCGGGAGAACGCCGAACAAGAAGGGCAACAACTAAAAATATTGTTTGGTTGAGAACCTAATTATTTATTTTTTGCTGGACTTGTAAATGAGAGAGGGAGGAGTCCGCGCGACGGGCGGTGATCAGGCCGCTGCTTTGGGTGTGTTTGTGGTACACACATCTAACGACACACGGAACGCACACATGCATGAGCGCTGATTTTGCGTCCGCCTCCCCTCTCTGGGGAGAAGTATTGATGTAAAGCGACTCGTCTCGTTCTTGAAGAGAGCAAGCAAAGGAACACAAAGTGTGCGCGGCTGTGCAATGTGAAGTACTTGACGACATGTTTTCTACTGTAGACCCCTGCCATATGCCTAGGAATACGGGGCACAGAAAGTCGGGTTCTCGCTGTCTTGAATTATTTTTCGCCGGCCCGCGGGGGGTTGGGGGGTTGGGGCGAAGATTGCTCGCCCGGAATCAATCAGGGTTTGGAGGCGTGTTTGAGGATCTTGGCTTGGCGGGGACAGTTTTACCTTGGGCTGGTTGTTTACATGTCGGCACAGCATGCAGGTGACCAAAATTACGAGTTTTCTTCTGGTACGGAAGGGGGAGAGCAGTGAAGGAGTCGGGGGCTAGGATGCTAGGATAAGGTGAGGGCGTCGTAGGAGGCACCCGGTTTTTTTGTACAAGAGGTTCGCCTCGAACTGGTTTCGTTCTGTTGTTGTTGGAACCACTCTGTACTAGTTTTGCGTACAAGTGCATTCGTATTTAGCCTCCTCGGTCTTGTTAAAGTGTATATGTAGTTAAGTGGCCTGCGGCAGGGGAAGTCGTCTCGCCTATTTGTCAAGTATTGGACATGACGAGGATGGGCGTACGTAGAATAGGGACAGATATCGACGAATGACTTGAGTTTTTTGTTTGTCCATGGTTGGTTGTAGACGTAAATATTCATCAAAGAGTACTGTTTCTTAGCATGAAAAGGCACCCTGGCAGTGTTGACAAGTTCCGACCCAAGCGTCAGGGACGCCTGCTACCTACCTACAGGCAGAGCAGGCCTGTGTGCATGTATGTCTGGTACATGTGCGCCTGCGATGACCGATGTGTCACCTGCTTTCTCCAATCCGCGTTGAGAAGATGTGATCAAGGCGGTGCCTGTTATTAGCACGCGAGCCGAGTCACCTCCAAATCTCGCGCCCTTGGTACCGCAGCCCATCGCACCTACCTACATGATGAGCACCCCGTGTGCAAAATGTGGAGGGGGCTCACAAGTACCAAAGTACGATCTCCCCGGGTGGGGTAGATTCGAGTTTCCCCCACCGGTTGGGCACACTATCTTCCGGCTCGCGTGTAGACTACGAAGCGCTCAGAGAGAGGGCTTGAGAGCTGCAGATTTGCAAAAAAACAACGAATGAACGCTCCTCAAAAGAACCATCATGTGCAATGAATGGGCCGCGCAGCTTTTTTCTTCGTTTGCTCTCCCACCAAACCATGTACGTAGTAGTTAAGAGTATGCGCTCACCCAGCCCTGCCCGTCGTGTACAGCAGTACATCTCCAACAAGCTCCCACGACGCCTTGTAGGCGTAGAGCGACCGTGCATATATCCATATCCCCAAGGGTCAGCATGAGTCCCAACGAAACGGCGCGAAAAGATGTTTTTTTTCTGAAGATTATTTAGGGGGGTTCTCAATTTTATTCTTTTCCGGGAGAGGGGGGGGGGGGTCGTTTATATAGTATTTCCCAAAAAACAACGTGCTTGCGGAGACATTTTTGGAGGCGGCACCAGCGCACCACCGCCTCACACTCACGCTCGAGAGCAGAGAGAGAGAGAGAGAGAGAGAGAGAGAGAGAGAGAGAGAGAAGCCATATCGTACCCCACCCATGATACACCACTCGGACGGCCAGTTGGTTATTGTGACGAGGGTACTGCAGCAGTCGTATTACTACTAATAGACTAGCTGTAGCTTCGGAAGGGAGGAAGCATAGGACACACGGGATCACCGATGAGAGAGAGTTGCATACGGTCTCTTTTCTCGTGGGCACGATGTTCTGGCGCGGTTGGTTGTTGACCCCACCACCGCACCAGACGTTTGAAGCATCGATTCACGAGGGAGAACAAAAAACAGAACGGTGCGAGAATATTTGCTTCGCTCTATCCGACGGAGAAGCGAAAATCTACTTCAAGTACCGATCACGACATTACGACTGACGTCGCATGTTTTGTGAGAGCCAGAGTACCGATCACAAACCTGGTGTGAAGGTTGGGGTGGGGGGGGTTGGGAGGACGGGGTAGACATTGAACGCGCCGTTTTTGTCTCTGCTGCCAGTCCGCCGTGTTAGGTGGGTTCAACGCCACTCACTTGCGGGATGATGAGCTAGCTGCACAAATCGGCGTGCAACCTCCCGCCTACACGTAACCCACCACGCGTGATCGGTGCCCTACCCACAAACCTGACCTCTGACCACCAAGTGTATGCTTGGAACTGCTGGATCTCCACAGCTCTCTCCACGTGTGTGTGCCTTGTTGACATGGTCGTAGCCTCATGCTAGAAATCGGCTGCGCTGTGGTCATCATGACTGGATGCGCGAAGTGACGTTTGCACCTCGGATGGATTTCTTCTCCGCTGCGAGCCCCCAGAGGGAAAAAGAAAAACGATCGTGCTGAGCTGCCAACAACAACCGTGGTTTATTATATGATTCCCGTTTTGGTGGCACCCCGTTTCTCGGTCATACGTGACCAGTTCGGCACAGATGGAGACAGCCAAGGACTTCCCAGGCTGCGCAACGTGCACGACCAATCGAATGCATGCTCTTTGCTTCACTGGGCGCCCATTGAGGTCCAAAACACTATCTTTGACATACTTTGCTGTACTCTCTCACACACCTACCTGCTCAGCCCCAGACGTAGGGTTTCTCGAACCGCATACACTGGCATTTTCCATCTCGGCCATGCGCATTTACTCCCACCTTACATACAGTCGATACGCTACGCTCCTCCAAATACTACAGTTGTTGGTTTATCTCTTTGTACAACACCTACCCCCCTCTTTCACCTTGCGATTCGGGCCCCTCCGCCGGCATACATGTTGTACAAACAAAGAGAGAGAGACTCTCCGTTCAGTGTAGAACCACAGTCGAAGGGGGTGTATTGAAGTATTCGTTAATAGGTGGGATCTGTTTGAAGAGGATCGCACCAACGCAGCAAGCGAACGGCGTCTGTCAGCGAAAAGTGGGAGTGTTCCGGATTTGTATGCTTGTCGCCATCGTGCCTGGTTGCATCTCTCCTAACCGTCTTTGTTCACGATCTACATTTTTAGAGCAATCGTTGGTGACATTGCCAGGGTCTCTGGGCCGCCCTCTGCCATGGCGGATGACAACACGCCTTGATTACCTCGTCATAACACGATTTCTCGCGATTTTGTCGGGTCGGGCCTGTAACAGCATTTTTGGCGTCAACGGATGCGTTCTGATCAGTTGCAGTTGATCACACGACGAGCCCGAAGTACCCGAAATCTGCTCTCCATACATCGCCACAACAAACGGGTTTAGAGCGAGCGGATCTCTTGAAGACAACAACGCGTCTTCTCTATGTTGAGATTCCCTCGAAAAATCGTAGGCAGGTCAGAGCCCGAAGTACACGGAATCGGCTCTCAATACATCGCCACAACAAACGGGGTTAGAGCAAGCGGATCGCTTGAAGACAAGAACGAGTCTTCTCTATGTTGAGATTCCCTTGAACGATCGTAGGCAGGTCAGCGTGTGTGGAATTATCACGGAGCCCACGCTCTTCAACGGCCTCCTTCGCAACATTATCTCCCTCCACCCGCCGCTGTATCATCTGCCTTGTTCTCCACCTGGAATGGCCTGTCTTGGGGGTACGTACATACCTTTGATCAAGTTTTCTTCGATTCATGTGGTGCGGACTGGGTAGGAACCGACCAGCTGAGATCCCTTGGCAACTACTGTACCCGCAATGCGCTTCGCTCGAAACTGATTCTGAAGTCTCCCTTTTGCGTGGATTTACTCCCTGCCAACAGACCATTGCTTCGACGGCATGGAAATATGGTCACAACGTTGAGCGATGCCGCTGTCGAGGCTGCCAACCTCGCCCTCAAGATGGGATCGACCGCGGTGGACATGATATCGTTTGTTCATCGAGGGGATGGTGGGGAGCTGCCGGTAGTTGGTACGGTGTTGAAGACGCTCACGGCTATGCGCGAGACGGTGGAGACGGTGCAACAAAATCGAGACGAGCTAGCAGCGCTAGAGAAGAGGTGCACGTACATGACGGCAAGCGTCATCGTCAAGTTTAGGCAAATCCCACAACCTGGCTCGGGACTAGATGTGACTCCGCTCAAGGACTGCGTTGTGGTGGCGGAGAAATTTGCGGAACGGTGTAAAAAACGAAGAATGAGATGGGAAATCGTGAAGGCCTTCAGCGTCAAGGACGAGCTTGCTACACTGAACGCACGTATCGACCGCTTGGTGGGCGACTTGGGTCTGGCCGGCATCGCCACCGTTTTGGGCGAGGTCGCCGACTTGAAGGGAATGATGTTGGTGAGTTTCAATTTTGAATTTGTCAGGGAAGGGGGTCACATTCCGTTCCACCGCTGCTTGCAACGTAAACCTTTCGAGATGACAATGGTGTAGCCGCCCCTCAAGCGTGTCGATCATGTCATCGTTTTCGTCTCCGGTAGATTGTTCGGCCACGAACTCATTCCCTTCTCGCCCTCTTCCAGGCAGGCATAGCGATCAACCCTAACTCCTTTGGCACAACACGTTCGAACATCTTCGTGCCAGCTCATATTGCGAGCCTTTCGTCTTTTTCTTTATTCCATGCCCCGGACATACCACGACTGCAGCTATCTCGCACACTAAGAAAACCGTCGAGCAAATGCCTGGGCCGTTGTTTGCAGCTGCTGTCGAAACGAATCTCTTTTACGACGTCAAACGAAGTTTAAGACGAAACAATCTCGGTCCACTCCGGTGGCGATTTTCAACTATTCTTACGTCTTGGATTTCGCAACACATGAATGTTCAGGAACAAATGGTCTCCGATCAAGCGGCCGCTCAGAAGGAGCTCTTGGCAAACCAAGAAATAGTCATTGATCGCCTGCCTAAGCCGCCGACCAAGAAGGCGGATATTCCCCAGGGCACGCCAATGCGCAAGAGCTGGCACGTTGAGCGCCGCCATGTGATGGACACGGTGGTTGAGGCGCTTACGGGTGAAGCAGGACCGCACTTGGTCGGACTCGTGGGTGACAGCGGGGCGGGCAAGACCACTGCCGCGTCCGAGCTTGTTGGGAGCAACGTGGTGAGGGAGTCCTTCTCTGATGGTATCGTGTGGTTGGCGGTTAACTACGGCGCGAACAAACGTCTCCCATCCTTGATGCTGCAGCTGGCCCGTATGGTGCACGAGGATATCGGGGGCTGTGTGGGTGGTCGACCCAATGAATCTGGTGACAATGCTGATGCCTACATCAAGCAGAGGATGTAGAACGGTCACGGGGGCAAAGGGTTGAAGTGTCTTGTAGTGGCGGACAACCTGTGGGAGAAGGAGGTGGTATCAATGCTGCTGAAGACCGGAATGACAGTTCTCCTGTCGACCCGCCATGAAGAGCTGGTGACTGGAGCACTAGGAGTGCCCGTGCGAGTGGACGAGCCGTCCTCGGGAGATGCGGAGTCCGTGCTGAGGAGCGCCGCAGAGCTACCCCCAGAAGTGCGCTTGCCCGACGATGCTGTTGATCTGATCGATCTGTGCAGCCGCGTGGCGATGGAACTGGCGTTCGTGGGTCGGTGGAGCACCGTTCGCGGGAGGCACGACCGAGCGGCTTGGTCAGATGCGGCTGCAAAGGTGCGCGCCGAGATCGCCAAGATGGCACAGCGGATGGTGCTCGAGGGAATCGGAGGAAGGCCATTCTCCAGGCCGGCTTGGAGGATCTTGCCATCGGGTCGAACGACGAGCGCGTGCAGCGTCTGTACTTGTCGCTTGCTGTTTTGCCGGATGGCCAAGACTTCCAAGTACATGATGCTGCGTTGCTGCTTTATGATCGGGATCCAACCGCTGAGGACGAGGAATCGGTGGCACGGACGGGTGTTGGACGTTTTGGAACGCTGGTCTGTCCTGAGGTCGACAGAAAGCGCCTACTACATGCACGATGCACACTCGGAATTCGCAAGGGAAAGCCTCATGGATCGTGGAGATGTGCGTCGGCATGCGTTGAGGAGGTGGGTGGGATACATCTCTTCGCTAAATTATCTCAGATCCCACCCTGCTGACAATATCAGGCGTCGATGTTTGGGTGTGGAACAGGTTGGTGGAGAGGGTTGGGATAAAACCTGCCCATACGAGGCCGCGCTTGCTGAGATGGACGACTCAGACCCCTTGCTCCAAGAATCCGTAGTGGCGGTGGCAAAAGCTGAAGAAGCGCACGAAGCCTGGGAGAGAGCTAGCACCATGTGGCATCGATCACTCGGCGTCAGCAACTGGTGGAACCAATTTCTCGATGGCGGCGACGAGCGCACCGTTTTAGGGCGTTACATGGTGATAAAAATATGGTTGGATCGCTGCTCCACCTGATCACTTGCGCCCGTGAAAAGAGCAGCATCGTAGAAGAGGCCGAGTGGCGAGAGAAGTTGTTTGAAAGCGTCATGCCATACTTGCTCGCCATGGAGCAAGAGGAAGAATCTGGAAGGGATTTGTCGCTTTTAGTCATTTGTACATTTTGGGGATGTACCTAATGACAGAGAGATGAAAACGGTATTGGGGCGCTGTCTGGTTCTTTTCAAGGCCAGGCTAGGCCCCCAGGATGTGTGGGTCGCCAGGGCACTCCACGATCTGGGCGTAGTCCTTCATCGGGCAAAGCGCCTTGAAGAGGCGGAAGGGTTGTTAAGTCAAAGTCTGGCACTCAACGAAGCACAGCAGGTCCCGGCGGGTGCTGGGGTGGCGAGAACGCTACGTGAGGTAGGAGTGTGCGCTCGAAAAAGGGGCTGTATAGACAATGCGGAGGAAATGATGAGACAAGCCCTAAAGATGCAGGAGACCAACAACCTGGATCCAGACTTGGAAACAGGCCTTACATTGTATGAGCTGGGTGTTTGCGCACGAGAGTCTAAGCGCGTCGAGGAGGGGGAGCTACTTTTGAGGCGGTCGCTGGATATCATGGAGCACCGCGAAGAAAGTGACAGTAATAGGTGGATGGCCAACGTGCTCTCTGAACTGGGTATGTGTGCGCGAGAGGCAGGGCGGCCGGTGGAGGAGGTGGAGGATTTGTTTAGGCGCTCTACGCAGTGCAGGGACGATGTTCCGGATATCTGTGTGATCTCGTGAAGTAATTACTCCTTGGATATGTCGGGAAAAGTTGTCCAGCACGGCCGTTAATTTTCGCGCCAGGACACGGTGATAGACGTGGGGAGCATCTTGAATTGTCACAGCATCGGTGGCCAACCAGCTATGGCTGAGTATTTTCCTACAGGGACTTGTTTGCGGCCCTATCGATGCCTGCCGGTACCCTGTGAGAGAGGGGTTGCCTGAAGTGTCCTCGCGGACATACCCTGCGCGATTGAGAACCCTATGAAAGACCTGGAGGTTGCAGACCCTGTGAAAGCCCTGGCAGCGCCGTGATGATTTTCTTTTGGCGGGACGAGGGATGTGCCGAAAATAAGCCAGAGATCCTACCTACTTGCTACACGAAAGAGTAATAGGCGGTTAGGTGGGTGGGGTTTTAGTTTTGGGTATTGTTAATTTTCAGTTTTGGAAGTATATTGAACAGTACATTCATTTTGGAACCGGCTTTTCGCATGGGCAAAACGCATCTGGGTACGGACTGTTGGAATACGAGCGCTTGCCCGCCACTTTTTTTTGGTACACACGGCGGTCGTTATGATACACGGGGCCTTGGGGGTTGGTACGTGTGAGATCTGATGATTTGGGAGTTAAGAGTAACCTCACCATTGGGCTCTCATGGCTCACCTCTGCTCGGGCTCCGGGCATGTCAGTTTGACTGTGCTCTGGTATGATAGAAGCACGTCTACGTATCTCCACACAGAACGGCTGCTAGGGCGTTAACGTCTGGTCACCCGCCGAACACTTTGAGCGCTTTTTGTTCGACCCAAACGTGTGGCGCCTGACGAGGGCAAGGAAAAGTTGTGTCTGATGTTTTGCCAAGGAGGATCTTCGCCATAACCCAAACCAACCTGCTGTCATCTGCGTTGTTGTTGGCTGTTTCGGTGAGGGCGGTTGGAATGGTTTTCAACGGATGGTTCAGACGTAGCAAGGCAGATAAACGAAGAGGCTGAAAAACGGCTTGGACATGCTCAAGCGGTGCAAGACGGCGGATTAGTTCTGCTAGTTCGCCGCCAGAACGGTCAAGAACGAAGTCATTCGCGTTATTAGACATTCACCAGTTCCCGTAGGAACTCCTGCTACAGAACGCGCCACCTTGAGAACCCAGGAGTTAAGAAATTGGCTCTCACAAAATCAGAGTTTAAGAACTTGAGCACTGTTTGTGAGCTCCGTTAATAACCCCTACACTAAATAAAACACACCAGTATTGGCGATCATTCGTAGCATGACCCTAGCAACCGAGAACGAATTCCAGCCCCGGCCGAAACTAAGGGGTTCTTTAGTGCGGCACGTTCTGTACTACTACTGGAATCCCACCTTCGGCGATTGAGATAGGCCAGTCTGCCCGAGGTTTTCCCTTTCGGCTGTTTTCGAGGAAGAAGCCAAAGGGACTCCGCTCGGAAAGAGTACGTTGCCTGTAGGGAGGCTTGTTAGAAAGGCTTACCCATTAGCCTACTCAGTCAGCGCTGCCTATGTAGTCAAATGGGTAACCCTTTCTAACAAAGGCTGAGCTCTGTTCCCTTCTTGGGAAGACGGTCCCCATCCAGGCTATAACAACAGTGATCGCGTCGTCGATGTTTGTTGCGAATCCGGTGGTAGGAAGCAATAATTTCGTCGACGACGTACATATGCAATGATCTTCGCTCGTGTGCCTGGCGGTTTGGTGTCGAACTCTGGCAGGAGGATAAGGATGGTGCCTTTACCCAAACCAATGTCTCCCAGGTTGCAACCTTGTTGAGAACCCCGCACGCTTAGGGTAATCCCAATACTGTACTGCCATCTTCCATTGTGAAAAGAAGTCGTGGCTGATGTCCCATGTAGACTACTACAGTTGTAGACTACTGCAATCCGCAAGTGTGTGTGTTGTGGTTGGGAAGTTCCCTCTTTTATAGTGTATCTTAGGTGAGTGAGTAGTGGCTTGTCGTACTCACGGTGAGGGGCAGCAGCAGGATGTGGTTGGCGGCTTGATGTAAACACATGGCACACGGGGACACCTGTGGAGCACTCGTGGGTGATGGAAGAGGTGTTGAATTTGCATGAGTCAAGTATTGAGGACCATCTTGCGCTTTCTCGCATTAAATGTTCCCAGTTTTGCCTCAAATCCTATTTAAAAATCAAGTCTCCGCAAGGTTATTTAGTCTAGATATCATAACGGCTGTGGATACATTTGGCTGGCAGCAAGCATAGATGTTGACTATGCTTGCGCAAGAAAAGCACTGAGCCCGTAACGAAGAAGTTGACAATCTGAGAGCCTCGACACAGCCGGGCGGCGCCATCGAAATCTCGGAAGGTAGCCTTTTCTCTCGTGTTCCCCATTCCTCGTTTTCCTCCCTCTCAGTCTCGCTCGCATTCCCCCACCCCCTCACAACCCCCACCGAAGCTGATGGCCTTCAACGCACAGGACCTCTCATCAGTACGTACGTCCACGCCTTACCGTTGCCTTCCGGCAGCACCTGGACGGCCCTCGGCACTCTGGGAGGTCGACTGCGACACGTCGTCGCGCACGGCCGAAAGCCTTGCGGGGACTTCCATGCCACAGCATAGGCGCCCGGGTGGACATCGCTCGCACCGCAGTTTCAGGTAAAGTTGTGTGGGCGGAGAGAGTGGTGACGGCCCGATGAGCTTGTCCATCGCCAGAGACATAAACCGAAACCATCCGCGATCGGCAATAACTGCCCACAAGGGTTTTCCGAGCTCAACAGTCAGCTGATGAAGCGATTTATCAAAGTTTCAAGCCAACTCGGTACCCATCATGTTGGCTCAATTTTCGACATAGATACCAATCAACACACCCAAGATTGGATCGTGCAATAAAGGAACTGACTGGTGAAACTAAACAATAACTAACTGCTGTTCGTTTAGAGGGACATCTGTTTCCTTCCTCCTCGGAAAGTCTACTCCGGCGTTCTCCTCCTCCCCCGAACCCGTACATCTAAACCAGAGATATAAGTAGGGCGCAGGCCTGTGCTGTGTGTTCGAACACCGCACAGCTTACGTACAGCAGTGTAGCAGAAGTGTACTGCTGCACTGAAACACCGCAACAGGCTGGTATACCGGGCCGAAATTCGAACCAAGCATAGAAGAACTGGTTCCGTACACGAACCGCCACTTCACAGAGTTATCGAGTTGTCACACACGGAGCCCTGGGACACCAACTGACCACACGACCACACACCCGCGCGCCTGCGCGTGCCGCTTGGACCCGACGAAGACCGAAAGGAGGGTTACCTGCTGCTGTCAATCGGCCATCGCCTGCCGCCGCTGGGTTTCGCTATGCGCCTGCTCACGCACAATGTTCTCCGATCACCGATGAAGGGAGTGGTGGAGGGCTACCCCTTACGCATCGAGGCGACCGACGTACAGGTTAGACAAGACAAGACACCACAGGACTAACGAGGTCCCTCCAAACAGCAGAGCTTATCGTCGGCATGGTATTTGTCTTTGTAGGCTATTATCTCTGATACTGCTGGAGGAGTGATAGCTCGTGCCTCCGTGCGGGATTCCCTCGTTTTGAGTGTAGTGTCCTCATTCTCCGCTAACGCAGGCGGGGTCTCTGGTGTGTACGTTAGAAACGAAGTGGCACGGAGATTGTGGATGCCAATGACCATGTGGGCTCCCACAAAGCTCGAGGTTGCCTTAAATCTGTTCGTATTCTGCCACGTTCTATTCCAGCCTCGGTGAATACAAGGCAGGATGGAAACGACACTGCTGAAGACTCTAGGACCTGGGATCTTTATCAACATCTACCTCTCTTACAGCAGGAGTCTGTCTTTTCGTTTTACAAGTAGCTCCTGCCCTCTTCCTACAGTAACCATCTCCCTCTCTCCCTCTCTCGGCGTCCTTACCCCGCTACCGTCCAGATGGTGGAATCAGAGGTCAAAGAAGAGTTCGTCAAGCACATGGCGACCACTTTGGACTGGGGGGCGCTCTGCAAAGCGGCAGCCGAGGTATGTATGTAGCGATGCTCAATTCTTCCTGGCAGCAGTCCGGTATCACTGTTGTTGAAGCGACGGTCGCGGCCAGATTGTGTCGCACTTTTAGTTTTCAGCCAAAAACACGCTTGTGCAGGAAGTTGTCCGTCTATTTACGTCTCTCCGCATCATGCAAACGCTTGTCGGGTATGGCGTGTACCCCCGATGCGTGTTGTTTTGAGTGGCGCAGAAATACATGGTGATGTTTGCATGGGCTTGCCATCAAACCCACCTGCCCTAATCCTACAATACAGTAGCCCTATTACAGACCCTGCTCTTACCCCCGACCGTACCACCAATAACAACAAGCAGTATCAAGTCTGAGTCTCTTTGTCAGGCCCATAAACACTACTGCTGCAACCCACAGACATCCAACGTGAGCAATATGAACAAAGGTGCGATTGATCGCTGACGCGCTGTACTCTGCCTGTCAACGGCGGATCTGCCCTCGCAACCGATACACCGGGAGAGGGTTGGGTTGGAAAGTTCTCTTGGAGATTTTCTTTGCATGTATCGGCAGGGTCTCGCACCCCCTTGGTTGTGGATCAATCGACCTGTGGAACAGGTCCAACATCTCGCCAGCGTTCGCATTCATGAAAATTGGACATAGGTTTGCTCCTGAAGATGTAGTGGAGCGGAATCGTGTTTCCCCGTCTCTAACCTGAAACCGCACGCTTGGCTGTTGTAGCTGAAAAAACGTCTAATTTCTAAAACAAACAAGAAAACAAGCCACAACCCCTTCAAGGTGAGGACTTTGGCCCTGATTCCGTCCAACTGCTATGGTCCTATCTTAAGCGGAGACTATTCAAGAGTCTAGTGTAATGGTTTTCGGGCGTCCAAATCCGATGTGAGAATTGTTCCAGAGTACCTCACAGGGAAACCAACTAACCTGTTTTCTTCTTTCAGCCCCTTTTTCTTGTTTCATCATCAACAGGGTAAGGCATAACAAGAAGAGTACAAGCTCTGCGTGAAAACACACGCGTATTGTGTCACGGCGATTTTCTGTATCTGACCAGCCCTACCGCAATAAACCTTGTGTCTTACGAAAGACAGACTGGTGTCTTGTGTGAAACTCTTATAAAAAATCGTGCGCCTTCCGACGGACAGGCGGACATCGTGTGTGAAACTCTCGCAAAGAAACGTTTGCCTTCCGACGGACAGACAGATATGGTGTGTGAAACTCTCGCGATGAAACGTGTTGCCTTACGAGAGACAGACAGACAGACAGACAGACAGACAGACAGACAGACATCTCTTGTAAACATCTTCCCTTCGGTGGCTGGCCCCGTGTGCTCCTCCGTCCAGGTTGGCATGCCCGAGGGGTCTCTCCCACCAGCGTTAACGCCGGAGCTTCTGGAAGACTCTTCTTTCTTGGAGGCTTTGCATCGCGTCTTGATGGACATGCACGTCGTGGAGGGCACTCTCGTCTGTCCCGAGACCGGACGAAGGTTTCCCATCGCTGAAGGCGTTCCGAACCTCATGTGAGCTGCGGTCTCGCTGGCTCGTGTTCCAGTTTTTTGGTTGCGAAATATTGTTCGTTTCGGGGGCTCGTTGATGAAGTGCGCCACATGACCTGTCATTTCTTGGGTCTTGCTGTTTCTTGTTTTTTTTAGCTTTGGCGAAAGGCGTGGACATCTCGATTTAGTGTTCTGTTTTTCTGTCACTCTTTGTAGGCTTTGGAAGATGTTCCTTCCGTTCATTCTATTCTGTGAAGACATCCCAGACTCCAGTTACACCAGCAGTTTTTTCTTTGCTCCTCGCTGCTGTCGTTGTTTTTATCGTCACAAAATAAGAAGACGTCCCGGGATCCGTGGTCAACAACGTAGACTCTACGTACAACGTAGACTCTATGTCGACTGTCGACGTAACATTTTGCCCCATATGAGGCAGACCTTCGAGACCTGAAGCAACTGCTGCATGCCTTGCGGTATTGACGGTGTCCCTTATGGCGAACTGCTCTGAAAGATGACCGAAAGTGTGACGATAGGTGCATATCTATCGCTCGTTCTACAACGCGTGTGCGTGCGTGTTCTTGGATGTCCTTGTGTTTGGAGACACATTCTGATCCCCAGAGAAAAATCGAAACAACTGCAGCGGATATCCAACCCACGCACGGCAAGCGAGCCTTCACCAATCGCCATTGTTCCGACCAACTCGCCGGCAGGTGCACGGAGGACGAGGTGCGATGACGTACCGGCGCGAGAACCTCAGTCTCGTTCGAATTTCTCGGCGCCTGAGCCGGGCGGGGAGTGTGCTCATAGCCGTGCATGCCGTAGTCGTTAGATCATTGACCTCGCATCCACACAAAGCCGCGACGGAGCACGCCGGGTTTTTATTGGACCAGGCTTTCACATCACCAAGCGTGAACTGCTCGCGCGGAGAGTCGCATAAAGGCGCTGGGGATCTTCCGGCCGGGCTTTCTGGACTACGAACGGGGCGGGAGGGTTGAGCGACCAGGGCAACCCTAGAGAAGATGCGTCGCCACGGGGCTGCTGGTAATAGTGATATTGCCTACCGCCACGTGACGGCTTGTCGTTTGTGGATTGGGGAGTTTTTGTATGATCACCCCGGGCGTTGTAACTCTCCTTCGATGCCTCTGCCCCCCCTGTCCTTGACGGTGAGCCGTGCACAACCAACCAACGATGGACGTGAAACTCCCACATAGGCGCCCGTCCTTTACCGGGTTTGATCGGGGAGGGGGGGGGGTTTACTCATAGTCGTGCATGCCGTAGTCGTTTGACCATTGACCTCGCATCCCTGCAAAGCCGGGACGGAGCACGCCGGGTTCTCACCGGACCAGGCTAGGGGGGGGGGGGGGGGTAGGAATGTTTTGTCGTGGGGGGGAAAGGTCAAACAACGAGCAGAGTTATCCTAACCGCCGCCACCATCAGCCGCCTATCCCTGTCCGACTTTCTCCAGCCGCTGGGCCGCAGCTACAGTGTGTTGGGGGCATGTCTGCCAGCTCGTAGGCACTCTATGGCCGAAGGACAACCAATAGGGTTGTTGCCCGCTTTTTGGTTGGGACACTGTGGTTGTATGTGGCTTCGGAAGGAAATCGTCTTCCGACGACCACGGTGCGGTAATATTGAAGCACCGCGCCTTACGTGGTTGCAGCAACACCGATGATGACACCGTACTGGTGGCTCAACTGTAGTACCGCAGGACCAGGAGAGGAACAAATGTAGCATAGACAGGGGACCACCAGGGGGACCGTGACTTGGACTTTGTTTTTGGTGGGAGGAGGGGATCGAGAGGCTCGGAACGAACTTACCCCGACTTCGTAGTTTGTACTCCCAACTTTTTCTCTTTCAAAGGTACGCCAAACGAGCGCCCTCCCCTGCCATGGATCTAAGCGCAACCTGATTGACCAGTGGTTCGTCTCCAACGGGATGGGACACACGACCTCAGCCATCACAGGACTGCCGCTATGTGTGACTTGACAAATTGATGTGCATGGAAAATAGGTTTGTACCATGACCGTTCTTTTGTAATTGCGTTTTTCGATCCGTGTTTCTGGGCGCCTTAGACAAGTTTTCGTCGCGCCGTCATATTTGCCCCCTGAGCATCTGCGCGCCAACACAAGCACGCAGCGCGCACGTACACAGTGAAGCTGAGATTTGCTGCCGATATGTTAACAGTCTTGTAAGACGGGCGATGCGATGGCTACTCAGGCCGCTGGGCGTTGGCTTAAATGTGTTGTGTTTGTTTTTTTTTCTTAGCTTTTGGTGTGTGTCATTTGGGGGGGGTTCGAAATCGAAAAACGAATAACTTGGCTGTGGAGGAGAAGATAGACGCGGTTTCTAAAAATCCTGCGAAGACTTTTGGCGCCAAACTTGTACGGAGGGGAGAGCGCGCGCTTACACCACCTACGCCATCCAGAAAATCCAATCGAGACTTTAAAACACGCGTCGCGCCAAATTTTGGTGAGGAACGTCCGGCACGCGTTCCGCGAGAGCAAAATGCAGCGTGCCAAATAACCCCAATTCTTTGCGCCATGGAACACCGTGGGCTTCCCTGTCGCCCCGGCAACACGCCGAAAAAAAACGAGTGGTGTTGCTACCGCGGGTGCACTTGAACCGGTCACGTCGTTAGTAGTGCCTATCGTATCGGGTTTCAGACGATTTTCTTTGTGCGTGTACATAGTTCGGACAAGAAGAGCAGTTGGTCCATCCTCACCGTGCGTTTCGGATTGGTCGGCAGGCAGGTCTGTCTGCATGCCTACCGTGGGCGTTGTAAAGTTACGCTCTCTCTTTTTTTTCTACTCCTGATGCTTGATGATGGCCTTGCTGCCTACAACTGTACGTCGACGGATCGTGTCAACGTTCGCGACTGTACTTCCCCGAGCAACAGGAAATCGATCCACTACAATACCCACACGAAAGCCTCCTTCAGATTCCAACAGCAGTTGCTGTCTCCTCCAGCGACAAGATATGCCTCCTGGTTTTAACCCCTTCCTAGAAAATGGAAGGCTCTCCTCCGACCAAACCCCCTCCGGCTCCACCGCCATCGCCATCCATTGCTTTGAACATATCCAAGGTTGATCGCAACGCCTGCAAGGAGGATCGTCAGTTGGCAGCGGGGGGTTGGT